ACAACGAGACTGGGAGAGAGGAGAGAGACAACGAGACTGGGAGAGAGGAGAGAGACAACGAGACTGGGAGAGAGGAGAGAGACAACGAGACTGGGAGAGAGGAGAGAGACAACGAGACTGGAGAGAGAGAGAGAGAGACAAGAGAGACTGACAACGAGAGAGAGAGAGAGAGACAACGAGACTGGGAGAGAGGAGAGAGACAACGAGACTGGGAGAGAGGAGAGAGACAACGAGACTGGGAGAGAGGAGAGAGACAACGAGACTGGGAGAGAGGAGAGAGACAACGAGACTGGGAGAGAGGAGAGAGACAACGAGACTGGGAGAGAGAGAGAGAGACAACGAGACTGGGAGAGAGGAGAGAGACAACGAGACTGGGAGAGAGGAGAGAGACAACGAGACTGGGAGAGAGGAGAGAGACAACGAGACTGGGAGAGAGGAGAGAGACAACGAGACTGGGAGAGAGGAGAGAGACAACGAGACTGGGAGAGAGGAGAGAGACAACGAGACTGGGAGAGAGGAGAGAGACAACGAGACTGGGAGAGAGGAGAGAGACAACGAGACTGGGAGAGAGGAGAGAGACAACGAGACTGGGAGAGAGGAGAGAGACAACGAGACTGGGAGAGAGGAGAGAGACAACGAGACTGGGAGAGAGGAGAGAGACAACGAGACTGGGAGAGAGGAGAGAGACAACGAGACTGGGAGAGAGGAGAGAGACAACGAGACTGGGAGAGAGGAGAGAGACAACGAGACTGGGAGAGAGGAGAGAGACAACGAGACTGGGAGAGAGGAGAGAGACAACGAGACTGGGAGAGAGGAGAGAGACAACGAGACTGGGAGAGAGGAGAGAGACAACGAGACTGGGAGAGAGGAGAGAGACAACGAGACAGAGAGAGAGGAGAGAGACAACGAGACTGGGAGAGAGGAGAGAGACAACGAGACTGGGAGAGAGGAGAGAGACAACGAGACTGGGAGAGAGAGAGACAACGAGACTGAGAGAGAGAGAGACAACGAGACTGGGAGAGAGGAGAGAGACAACGAGACTGGAAGAGAGGAGAGAGACAACGAGACTGGGAGAGAGAGAGAGACAACGAGACTGGGAGAGAAGAGAGACAACGAGACTGAGAGGGAGAGGAGAGAGACAACGAGACTGGGAGAGAGGAGAGAGACAACGAGACAGAGAGAGAGGAGAGAGACAACGAGACTGGGAGAGAGGAGAGAGACAACGAGACTGGGAGAGAGAGAGACAACGAGACTGAGAGAGGAGAGAGACAACGAGACTGGGAGAGAGGAGAGAGACAACGAGACTGGGAGAGAGGAGAGAGACAACGAGACTGGGAGAGAGGAGAGAGACAACGAGACTGGGAGAGAGGAGAGAGACAACGAGACTGGGAGAGAGGAGAGAGACAACGAGACTGGGAGAGAGGAGAGAGACAACGAGACTGGGAGAGAGGAGAGAGACAACGAGACTGGGAGAGAGGAGAGAGAGAACGAGACTGGGAGAGAGGAGAGAGACAACGAGACAGAGAGAGAGAGAGAGACAACGAGACTGGGAGAGAGGAGAGAGACAACGAGACTGGGAGAGAGGAGAGAGACAACGAGACTGGGAGAGAGGAGAGAGACAACGAGACTGGGAGAGAGGAGAGAGACAACGAGACTGGGAGAGAGGAGAGAGACAACGAGACTGGGAGAGAGGAGAGAGACAACGAGACTGGGAGAGAGGAGAGAGACAACGAGACTGGGAGAGAGGAGAGAGACAACGAGACTGGGAGAGAGGAGAGAGACAACGAGACTGGGAGAGAGGAGAGAGACAACGAGACTGGGAGAGAGGAGAGAGACAACGAGACTGGGAGAGAGGAGAGAGACAACGAGACTGGGAGAGAGGAGAGAGACAACGAGACTGGGAGAGAGGAGAGAGACAACGAGACTGGGAGAGAGGAGAGAGACAACGAGACTGGGAGAGAGGAGAGAGACAACGAGACTGGGAGAGAGGAGAGAGACAACGAGACTGGGAGAGAGGAGAGAGACAACGAGACTGGGAGAGAGGAGAGAGACAACGAGACTGGGAGAGAGGAGAGAGACAACGAGACTGGGAGAGAGGAGAGAGACAACGAGACTGGGAGAGAGGAGAGAGACAACGAGACTGGGAGAGAGGAGAGAGACAACGAGACTGGGAGAGAGGAGAGAGACAACGAGACTGGGAGAGAGGAGAGAGACAACGAGACTGGGAGAGAGGAGAGAGACAACGAGACTGGGAGAGAGGAGAGAGACAACGAGACTGGGGAGAGAGGAGAGAGACAACGAGACTGGGAGAGAGGAGAGAGACAACGAGAC